GCCAACCCCGTACGAAGGACGGGTATTCTACTAGTTATTAATCAAGTTGAGAATACTAAAGGTTCTACAAAACAAAACATTGAATAATAAAAATACATTTGTATGAAAGTAACAGATAGATTGACAAAATTGTAAAACGATCGTATTATATCTAACAATATCAAATTATTTACAGTATCACGGTTACAACTTTTAAACTACTTTTGTTATGACTCAATGTTAACCTCTTTAGGACCTTTCATTTTATGCTTTTGTTAGTGGGGACTGGTTAAAACACCACAGTAGGTTTTACAAATATGATTGTGAGATGATATTATAATCTGAACTAGATTATGCGTTTTGATAATAATATGTATTTTAATTTAAGTACTTTAATTGATTCGGTTATATGTTTACCTCATATAACATTTGAACATGGATTGAAACATTAGATGTCTTTGTAATACTCTGAGAGTGAGAAGCAAAACATAACTTTCAGCAATGATGCATCGAAATCTACCTTTACTGACTGATTCAGAAATGTAATTGCAAAATATTTTGTCAACATGACTAAAATGACAAAAAAATAGATGTATCAGCACGAAATAGTTTGTAAGAAAAAAAGCAGTCTAGGACAACTTATATAGCAATCTAACCTCAAACATTGTTATTGTTTCAGTGTACAAATTCACTTGACACAAAATAACTACGTTACCAATTTATGTTTGTTAACAAAAATCAATTTTTTAATGGTTGCGTAATAGCTATTTACATTACAAGTGTAGTAAGAGCGTTTTTACTTCACGCATGTGAATGTTGTGCAACGAGCGGAAGCGAGTTGCATAATTCACCTAAGTGATGTAAACAGCACGCTCTTGCGTAACGTGTTACGTACAAGATTTTACCTGACCCGACAATAAACATGGGTTTACGTACAATATTTTTCATTATCCATTTCACTCATCTTCTATCAGTAACGTTCTTTTACTAACAAAAGCTAGGTTAGGTAGGAAAATACTTTAAAGCATAATAATAACATTCAAGCGCACAGCTGATTTCTAGCGATGAACATCGTTGGCTCCATAGAGTTATATTTTTTAAGTTAAGCACTCAATGTTATTTAAATGGGTTTCTTAACATCACCGAGTGAGTTTTTGATACTTTACATCACTCGAGAAGTAAGGAAGTTGTATACATCACGCTTGGGATAGGGAAGTTTAACATGGCGGGTTAGGTAAAATCAATTAAAATTATTATTTACTACACAAATTATTTGTAATGTAAAACATTGTTCACCACTCGGAGCAAAAGTATAATATTTATGGTACTTAAATTGTTTTATAGTACGTGGCAGTATAGTATTATTAGTTTATTAGTTGCTTGTTGCACTGTTCTACACACTGCTCAAGCTCTACAGCTCATTAAGTGGCATCCTGTCCACACACTGTTGATATATACTGAATTATGGCATGGTGCCACTATTTCGAGTGTAGGCTGGCGCGAGAATTGGCAACGTAGCATTAGGAAAGTTATAGTTCCGGCGGACGGCGCGAGGCGCGCTAGCTACCTGTATGGTTTCGTGTTCCACAATTCGGTGTGTACCTGCGCTACTTAAACTCACATCAACGAGTTCAAAAATACTCAATTGTGGCATGTGATGTTTAAACGACGTAATAATGCTGGAAAACCTCAAAAATGATCGAATTAGTTGTGGCACCCTGAAAAAGGTGCCACAATTTTTGAAGGTGCCACAGTACGGCCGTGTGCCTGTGAAGGATGCCACTATTCGGTGAATACAAACACACACACCCACACACACACACACACACACACACACACACACACACACGTTATATATGAGCATAAAGTATCGTGGCATCTGATATGAGGTGTAACTCACAATTAATCAATCCAGCTTTTCAACATTCACAGCTCATGTTAGTAGGCCAGGCCTCTCTCATCAAGCTTGTAAATCAGATCTGACGGAGACGGAGTTTAACCCTCAATCCACGAAATGCAACACATACTCGGTAATTTATCAGACCTTACGGTCTAACAGCACTAGTGTTGTTTCTAGGGCATTAGGTTTTTTAACGTGTTTTGTAAAAAAACGTCGATGGTTCTGGGCAACTGCGGTTCCCTGTTTGATGTTCCAAAACTCTAACACGAAGCATTCTACTTTTTTTGCCCTCCCACCTTCAAATCCTAGAACACTAGGTTTTAGCCCGGAACTGTTTTACACATTACTCTCAGGCTAGTCCTAGAGGGTTCTGGTATTATCACATAGATAAAATCCATTGGTGATTGGCGGGATTTGAACCCGGGACCTCAGCCAAAGCCAAAATCCCTAGACTCTACCTTTAGACCAGCTCGCTCCTAACCATGAGCAAGGACAATGGAACTCGAGTGAATGATATTGTAATGGAAGGGGTCAAATATTATAAAGAGGAAGTGTTTGGAAATGTTGTGTGAGTAGGCTAGAAGTGTTGTTAAACAATAGCTTGTTGTGCTGACCTACTGAAGGCTGTTGCTTTAAGTAGGCCAGTGCACTTGATCAAGGGGTCAGTTTTGGTGGTTAGTGTTTGTGTGGTGCACCAGAGGACGGGGTCCTGCTGGGGCAGCTGGAGCCCAAGGCTTTAGGCCTTGGGTCCAGGGTCCAGGTAAGACAATGTTAAGGGTTTTCAAAATTGGGGTTTAGAGTCTTTTCCAAAATGGGGTTTTAGTTTCTAACTAAATGATTTATACAGTTCCAGTCTACTCTACCTTTTTGATTGTTAGTTTATCTTTGTGTTCTTTGTGTTGTTTTGGGTAATTAATAAAGTTGGGTTTTGTAAGCGAGTGCTGAGTTTCATTCCTGAGCTACGTCACCCAAAGTAACAGTGGGTATTTTAAGGGGAGAAATACCTACCGTTACAATATTGGACTATGCAAATAGCATTGAGAGGGTAGCATTGTATTCACAGGACTGAGTCAAGGTCAGCAAATTTTGATTACTATATTTAGGCTTTCTCCGCCTGAATCCTTATTTCCAAGCATAACAAAATACCAGTTTCCTACTTGTGCATATCGTGCAATAGGTGTAACACTAGAACTTGCAATCCTGCGTCCCCAACTAAGATTCAGACCAACGGTTTATATTTATATATCAAAGATTTCTAAATATCTTTTATCAGTGAGTAGTAATATGGTAGAGTGAGTGAAGTTAAGCTTTTTTTAAATAACTAGTTTGAAATAAGAACAAACTAATAAGAACTACAAACTAAAGGAACATTGAGGACGATTGAGGTGATATTTCTTATTTAGTTGTTTACTATGTAATAGTATATTTCGTACCTAGGGCCGAAAACGAGGTTTTGCTGGCTCGTGATAGTTTTTAAGTTCGAGACGAATTCGAGAACTTAAATCGATCGAGAGCTGCAAAACCATTTTCGGTCCGTGGTACGAACACTATTTTTCACCACACTACTACTATTCACAATATTAATATAGAAAACTGATAGTCAACGCAACTTTAAGGTTATGCAAAGAAGTAATTTCAGGAGTCAGCAAAAATAATAATAAACAGTTGCTAGGCAACGGTAAAAATAAAACAATTCTATTTCAATGCTATGGATACTGTTTGTGTAATTAGTATGCAAGCGGACAGCTGATTTTGCGGCCCCGGGATGTAAAAACCTGTTCGGTCCCCAAAATACGATGACAGCTGGCATGGCCAGCAAAACGTAACGTTCAGCCACCAATTAACGTATGTAATACAGCAAAAAACATCATAGTGTGGTGAAATAGTATATTACGTTACCAGTCCTGGAAAATAGGCGTTTACCGGTTGAGTGTGGTCGTTCCCGTGCGAGACGGAGTCGAGTTCGGGATTACCATAGGGTAAACACATTTTGGACGAGTGACGTACGATATTTTACACCATACTACTCTAAGCAACCTTAACAAAAATAATCTGTACAAATCCTTATACTGTATATCCCATAAACTAAGTCCTAACAATCACTACTCATAAACTCTAAGAGAGGCCATGTTTTTGCTTATAACCACTCATTTCAAAATATAATCAGCTGGTTGGTGTCCGGTAAAACTCAGTATAGTAGTACGTAATGGAATCCCATTTGATTAAGCTGGTGGCAAACAGCTGTTTTCTGGACTAAATCCTTGCGTGAAAAGTTCCTTTAAAACAGTGTAGTGTGGCGTAAAACCAACGTTTTACCTCGCTTATTGTTAATACAGGGCAACTAAATTCAATCGGATGGAAATTATTGAAAGCTAAAAAACCTTTTTATTTATTGGGGATTTTGAGATTAATAAGCAAGTATAATAACCACTGAGCTACTTAGCTAGCAACACATTGGTAATAATCGTCTATGTTTACATTAGAGTTGGTCATGATTAGTTCCTGGTAATTATGCACTTACGCTGATTAAAACCACCATTAGTTAAGTTACACAAATTAAAACCAATATGATCATGGTAAAAGAAATTAATAGAAAAATTTGATTTTATTTATTGATCTTGGAATATGATATTGGGTTTATTCAATTCTGAACTGGTTAAAATTGACTGCTAATCTTAATGTTTGCGGTATTATTTGAGCGCATACTAAACATAATTAATTCCGTAAAACATGTTTAATATGCGTGTATATCTGACTACGTTAACAATAATCACTGTGATTTGAATTAAACTTTGTGATTGTTTTTCTAACAAATATTTCCTGTTATTTTAAGAGATTGTTGAAGCCATTTTCCATTAAAAACTTATTGTTCACGATGTTTCTGGATGTCCTGTATGAGCACGTCCTCAATTGAGGAAGCCCCTAAAATATACCAAGATTAGTACACCAGCTTACCAGGTTTGGCTTTGGTTGGGTTTGTACTAATCGTGTTAGGTTTCAGTAACTTTCTTACCTGAGTTAGGAGATTCTGGATGCCAAAACGTCACGAAAACCCTTGTTTTTACTAATTTTACTAATAAACTCACCATCACCAAAAAATTAGCTTTGACAATGATTGCAGCAGCCCAGACGAGAGGAGCTGTCTTCTCCCACAGCCAATGGTCAATGGCAGATACTCACCCAACATCAAGAGATGTCCTCCCCACGTATCCAACGCCGCTTGCAGGATAGTCCCCGGGACCCCAGTACCCTCGGGGTGGGATCTCTACTACGGATGTGATGATGGGTTCGTCCTCAACTCTACCGATACTGTGTCCTTCTGTACGGATGGGAACTGGTCTCCGTCCTTGCCAGAGTGTATAGGTAAGACATGGTGTGGATAAGATCAATAACTGTATTACGTGTACTTAATGTCTCGCCTTTACACCCTAGGACGCTGGGCTCTATCCCAGAAAAATTTTACATTATTTTTCCGGATAGGCTCATTGGGTAGAGGCATTATTACTTAGATAAAATTGGTGACTGATAAGATTCGAGCCTGTGACCTTGGGGACCGATGTCCCATGCTCTACTACTAGGACTGCTCGTTCCCTATAGCTCTAGACAGATCTGACTGCAAGTCATAATTTCAATATTCGTTTTGGAGTTTTACATATCTTTAACCCAGCTTAGACAGCACGGCTTACTCGTGTTATATTGTCCATAATGTATATACACATATGTTTAAGATCATTTAATTTGTCCGCTTTGCCTTCACGTTAGAAACGTTCATGCCATTGTACGGTCACTTACAGCATACTGTATATTACTTTCAGCAGTAACCGAAAATTGTCGTTGCATTGGTCTTGTTCACAAACTACCTAAACAAGCTCGTAAAAATGTAAAATTTGGGTTATTGACGAACTGGATTTGGATATAGTTTGTACCTGTAATTCTTTAGTTTCAAAATAAATTTTGTTAAATGGGAAGATGAGAGGGGATTTTCAAGCTAAGAAATGATAATGAAAAAATATTAAAATTGTTATTCGCGTGTCTTTAGTGAAAAGTGATCTTTTTAGCGAATTTCCCTATAGGGGATGTAGCTATTACCGTAGGTCTCGTTGTAAGACCTAGACCCGGGACTGATTTACTTTTCCGTTTTGAGGTCCCCAGAGCTCAAAAACACAAATGTTTATTTATTTATATGTGTCCGTTAGCACGATAACTCGAAAAATTATCCGATTTGGATAAAATTTTGTACAAACGTGTAAACCTACGTTTATCCGAACAAGATCGCGAACCAGCATAATCGGATTATGGGAACGGGGGTTTATGAGGGGTTTAATGGGGTAAAAAATCGATTTTTCCCATTTTTTACTCTAAAAACAAAACATTTAATAATTTATTTAGAACCCATTTTGTAGAAATTAAAAAAAGTAATGACTTTGTATATTGAAGTGTTGTTGTATGCCTAACGGTTACGGAGATAATCCAAAAAATATATAAATTAAAAATTCCCATGTTATTCTTTTGGAGTATAAATAAACTGTTGTATTTGGCTTGTTTATCGATATATTTTAATGAAATTTGTCAATTTTGTTTATTTCATACACTAAGCTATCAACATTGGGTAGAGGATACGGTCACTCCTATGCCATCAGCTGTCAGGGCAGATGGGTTGAATTAATTGAGTTAAAGCCCATCAGCCGGAAACGGTGGTTTCCGGTGCAACGTCACATAGTGACGTCATAGGTGATGTGTAATTGGGGTGTATGAGGTTGATCATATGGTTTTCAAGGTCATAGGTTTGTGTTTCAAAAAAAGGAAGCTATTCTACACTTGTAGTGTAGGATAGCTTCCTTGTTTTGTTTATTGTTTATTTGTATAAAACATGAGGAATGAGAATAACTTACATACTATTACAATTAATAAGGAAAACATGTGCGAACGTACGTATCTAGAGTGAGTGTCTGCTAAAGTGTAAAATGAATGAGTTTATTGGTGGCCTTTATAAAGGCCGTTTTGTGGAGCTAGGCGACGCTTGTGTATTTGAATGTTTACTTCTTCAACTCCTCTATTGTATTATGGAGCTCTTTCCATCTTGCCATGTCTGCATTGTGCTCGGCCCATTCGATGTTGTCTCGAGGTTGAGCGCACCAAACACGATCAAATTTGTGTCGAATCTCTTTCTCGTCCTCTAGCAGTTGAAGTAGTTTTTCCTTTCGTTTTCGCTCTTGCTCTTCTGCCTCGATGCATGCTTGGTGTAGGTCAGAGTCTTCAATATCGCTTGTCCACTGTTGTTGTTGCTGTTGTTGTAGGCTGGCCATCTTGTGCAAAGTAAACGAGAAAGGTTGAGTTGACTGGTGAAGAGCTGGATGCCGGTAAAATATGGAAGAATGAGACTGGAATAGTTAATTTAGAAAACAGTGAAGGTTCTTGCACTCATTGGATATGTTATAAAAAACTTGATCAAATTATTTATTATTTCGATAGTTACGGTAATATGCCACCACCTATAGAGCTTCAACGTTACTTTTGCACAGCTAAACAAGTATTTTACAACTACAACAGAGAACAACCTGACAATACAATAATTTGTGGACACTTATGTTTAGATTTTTTAGCTAGAAGTGTCAGTCAACTTTAAGATGTCTTCGTATACGGTCTCATTGACCGGCACTTCATCTACTCTGCGCAGTATTCTATTTCCAGCTCTCCGATTGCAAAAAGGAAGATTATGGGAAGCTGCAGTATTCCAAGTCCAAGTGTATATGATTGTGGCGACTAGCGCCTCTGGGGGAAGTGCCTGCTCGCTGGGAGCATATACTTCCGGTCTGCTGTGGGTCCAAGCCGTGGTAGCTCAGCTACCTGTAGACGTCAACGTCGTTCCTGGGGGTTATTCGTTGATCTGGGGGCGGAGCTGCGGAACATCCTCAGCGACCAGGTCCCTGATATGTTCCCACGGAGAAACATCCGCCGTCTCTTCTTCTCGCTCGAAGGCCGTCGACGAAGTCTCGGAGAGTTGTCACTGCTGTGGAGTCCCTGATGACGGAGTTCCTCACGTACCAGGGTGAATCTGTCGCCTGCCGAAGAGCCTTGCTCTGGACGACGAGCAGCCTCCGTCTAGCGGTTCTGCAGGTGAGGTGGTACCATGCAGGGGCTGCGTACGTGAGGACAGGCCGAAGCAGGGCCGTGTAGAGTCGGACTCTTGCAGCCGTCGACAACTTCCGTGACCTGAGCAGCGGGCGGATGGCGCCAAGACCTTTCCTGGCGAGGTCACAGACCCTCTCGACGTGGGGAGTCAGGGTGAGTCGCTGATCCAGCAGGACGCCGAGGTACTTCACCCGGCGCTTCCATGGGATGTCGGCCCCGTCTAGGTGGAGGTGTTGACCATCGTCCTGCCTCCTCGACCTCGTGAAGGAGATGGCCTCACTCTTGTCAGCGTTGACTTTGACTCGCCACTTCGTCAGCCACGGCAGCAACAGGTCCAGCTGTCGCTGGACATACACCCTGGACATCCTCAGGTTGGCGGAGGTGGCAGTGAAGAGCGCATCATCTGCATAGAGCGAGAGCTGCACTCTCGACGCCAGGGGTATGTCGTTGGTGTACCACAGGTAGAGTATCGGCCCGAGAACCGACCCCTGTGGCACACCCGAAGAGACTGGCCGTGGTGTGGAAGTCACCGGAGACCTTGAAGCGGCGAGCGGTCAGGTAGCTCTTGACGAGCCTGTAGATCGAGCCGGGTAGAGGGGAGGATGCCAGCTTGTAGAGAAGCCCCTCGTGCCAGACCCGGTCGAAGGCTTTGCTCACGTCGATCAGGACTGAGGTCGAGTGGTGCTTCCGTTCCATCGCTCCAGCGATGGTGTTGAGGACCCGCCGCAGCTGGAGGGTGGTGGAGTGGCCCCGCCTGAAGCCGTACTGCTCAGTCCTGATCGAAGAGAAGAACTCCTCGGGGAATCTCGCCAGGATGATCCGCTCCAGCATCTTGGAGAGCACAGGCAGGAGGGAGATCGGCCTGTGGTTCTCGGGGAAGATGTGGTCCTTGCCGGGCTTGGGGATGAGGATGACGTTCGCCAACTTTCAGGTGTCAGGGAAGTGGGCCAGCCTCACGCAGGAGTTGAAGAGGCAGGTGATCACGACAATCACCCAAGCCGGCAGGTTCTTCAGTGCTGGAGTCCCGAGGGAGTCCGGTCCTGGGGCCTTCTTCGGACGGAGTCGAGCGATGTGGCCCTTCACCTCACTGACGGTCACGTGGGGGATGTCCTCGTCGTCGGAGTCCGGCTCGTAGGTCTCTACGAAGTCGTCAACAACCTCGCAGAAGTCCTCGTCGTAGACGTCCGGGTGTGGGGAAAACTGGTCTTCCAGTGAGTCTGCGAAGGTCTCTGCACGGTCTTCTGGCGAGTAGACGAGCCCGCGTCCCCCATGCGGCCTGTTGTGGGTCTTCGTGCCGCGCAGAGCCTTGGCGATCTTCCAGATCCCGTCGTTGGTGTCAGCCTGGCCCTCGACGAAGTCCTCCCACTCCTGGGACCGATGCTCAGCCAGCAGTCGGGAGCACCTCCTGGGTCCAGGACTTGCTGGTCGAGCTCCTCCGCCGTCTCAGGTGGCGGGGGAGGCGGTCGAGGGGCGTTGGCCAGGAGGTTGGCGAACATCGCCCAGTTCACCCTCTTCCTGCGGACTGGAGGGCGGTCGGGGACTCCTCCCTGCGGCAGATCGATGATCACCGGGACGTGGTCGGAGGAGAGGTCGGAGACGACGAAGACTTCGACTGGGCCATCGAACGAGCCAGCCAGACCGATGTCCAGGATATCAGGCGGGTGTCCAGCACGGGGGTAGTGTGTGGGGTCGGCCGGGGCAACCACGTTGATGTGAGGGTGGGCAGTGAGGTAGCGCCTGAGAGCGGCTCCAGTGAAGTTGCCTCTCCTGCAACCCCAATCCAGGTGCTTCGCGTTGAGGTCGCCTGCCAGAAGCGCCGGGGTGCCGGGGGGCAGCAGCATGTCCAGGAGTCCGGGGTCGAGGCGTCTCGCTGGGGGGTTGTAGGCAGAGGAGACTTCCAGCTCTGCACCGTCATGCTGGAGCGCGATGGTCGTCACTTCGATGCCAGGCGGGAGGTTCCTGACGATCGGCCTGTGGGTGACCCGACGATGAACCAGTATCGCCGAGCCACCACTGGGACGTTGTTGCAGAGGCCTGTCTGTCCGGTGGGTGAAGTAGTTTCGGACGTTGAACGTGTCCCCACCACGCAGATGCGTCTCCTGGATGAGGGCAACGTCAACGTCCATGTCAGTCAATAGTTGTGTCAGCTCGTAGCGTCTGTCAGCAAGCCCGTCGGCGTTTCACGTGAGGATGCGAAGTCTACGCATGATGTTGGGTCAACTGGTCAACAA